GGGGGTTGCAGAGCTGTGGGTGTGGGAGCGTGCAGTCTTTTATGGGGGAATTTATCTAGCTACAACATAAAAAGAATAGAAGAGTGAGTTTTTGTGAATGAGTCAAGAGTCAAGCTTCAAAACACTCAAGGCAGAACATTCACAGTCTCTTTCCGGGTTGCAGTGTGCAAAAGGGTGGTAATAAGGGAATGTTTGTTATCAGAGTCAGAGAAGAATCACCCATTCAGGAGTTTTACGTAGTGAAACCTAAGGGTACTTGATACACATTGGAGAAGGACTCTCAGTAACCTACTGGGTTGGTTTTTCTTTCCACACTGCCCACCCTCTTTAAGCTTCCATTCACCCCTTTGCCATTTGGCTCAACTTCAGCCAACCCCTTCTTTTCCTTGTTCTTTGAGGTTTATATCCACCAGAGCAACAGTGAGCCAGCTATGCTACCCATAGCATTAGCTTATCGTAGTGTTTGCTTATTAAGCTACACCTTAACACTAAGTGCAAATTTTTTACAACTAAAACTACAGGATTTCAAAAAAAAATGAGCCCTGAATTAGTTGAGCCCCCCAAAGTACAACTAATGCTAACCAAATTTCCTGTTAGCAGTGTTAGTGGTCAAAGAAGCTAAGCTAACCTGTAGCCTAGCTTGTGTATTGCTATGCTAGCCTGTAGCGTAGTTTCAGCTATGCTAACACTACATTTTAGTGTAACACTCACATTAAGATAACCAAATAATGGTAGTGGAAGTGTTGTGATTACTTGAAGAAAAAAAAATCAGATCAAGAGAAGACGATTGATAAACAGGATGTATATATTGAAAATTCTTTTCTGGAGAGTACAAAATGTAAAGGATGATAGATAAAAGATAAAAACAGAATTATCTGGGGTTTCAACACACAAACCACTCTCTTTGGATCTGCAACCCACTGGATGTGGAGGCGCTGGTCTGGGTGGGTCACAGAAGCAATTAGTGGTAAGCAAATGGGGGTTGTTTTCTAAAAAGCATAATATTTTTTTCATTAATTGTTTTGGGGGTCAAATTTAAGCAAATTTGATGATGATAAGTTTTTTTTTTCTTACAATTTTAAGGGTGAAGAATTCAATGGTAAAGTTTATTTTTCCAAAAATAAATTATCATAATATTTTTGGCTCTACGCCTGGATTTTTGAATGTTTTTTTCCGATTACAAAGCAATGATTTTTGGTCGATTTGAATGTCTTTCCTGGTTTAATCTATTTTAGGTTAAATTTAATAAATCTCCCTTTTTTGGGGGTGTTATAATTTTCTTTTTTTGAACTTTTTCCACAGTTCTTTTTCACAAGATTTTATGAAATTGAACCCAAAATAAATTAAACTATTGGGTTTTAAAATATTCAAAGTGTGGGAAAAGAAATTTAAAATGACCCAAATGCATTTCTTTGCAATCAGAAAAAGAAAAAAAAAATCAGAAAGCCAAGTGTATTAACGAAGATATTAAAATTTTTTTTTTGGAAGAATGAAATTTACTATTGAATTCTTCAACCTAAAAATTTAGGAAAAGATATAATTACCATCAAATTTGTTTCAATTTGACCCCCAAGAAAACCAATGAAAAAATATTCCACTTTTTAGAAATTTAACCTGGGACCCCCATTTGCATACCACAAATTGGTTCTGCTTGACCTGGGACCCCCATTTGCATACCACAAATTAGTTCTGCGATCCACCCAGACCAGTGCCACAAAGTCCAACAGGTTATGGATCAAAAGAGGATGGGTTGCACATTGAACCCCCAATTATGCTTTAGAAGTTTTTTTGAGAGAAATCAACATAATTCTTGAAAATATTTTGAGCCTTCTCAAACTTTCCTGTTACTTGAATCCCCTGTTTGAGCCACATATGACTATTCAAAAACCTCTCAATTATCCGTGGCTTCAACATTCCACAACCACTGGAGCAGACATTGTCTGCTGAGAAAAACATTTTCTCAGCAGCACAAGATGATGCTGAGGTGGCTAATTAATCTTTGGCCAAAGACAATAGGACAGGAAATTTCTCTGAATGGTCCTATAATGCAAAGATAAAAAGAAATCAGTGTCAAAACTCCTATAAATTATAAATATAAACAACATACCTTCCACCATATTAAAATACTCTTTCAATCCTTTGCAGCTGGTGTTGCTAAGCGGTCCATATTTTTGACATAGACCTCTAGCTCTCTGTTTTCCAAAGAATTGGGAGGAGAATTGAAAAATTAAAAGATGTGATCTTTATCAAATTTTGGAGTGTCCTTCTCTAATTCTTTGATATCATCCTTCTTATTTAGTTGTTCCTCTCTCT